GTTTGTAAATGTTGATATATGGCTGAAATATATATTCCATATTTGAAAATGGCCAATTTCAAATAACTTGGCATATATGTCACATACATGTCCATATATCACACATTCTAAGTGGGATATAAGTCATAAATGCTAATATATGTCATATATTTGAAGTCCTTATATTACCATAAATCAGATTTCCACTTGGGGATGTCAAAAGAATTTGATGTCCCTAAAAGCTCACTCACTGAAAATTATTACACCAAAAAGGTTATGAATTGATGTCTAAGGCATTATTTTACAGCGGTTTTGAGAAAGTTTTGGCCCACAACATATATTTTATTAATCCATTCACGGTGGAAGGGTGCATACAGGGTGCTGTGAGGCAAAATAGTCCTCAAAGAAAACTTATTTACAAGTATTTCACCATCCTCAACATTCAGACGACACTTGCAGGTTCATTGGTGGTTTTGTGTGGTTAAATAAAATGGCTATGGTGCACAGATCCAAATGACTGAACCTGCACTGACTAACTCTGGGCTAGGGCATCCAAGGTTGACACTGCTAAAACACTGGAAATTTCCACTATGAACAAAGATGTTTTTCTCAGGGGCGGCACAGAAACATAACCTTGATACTTTAAGTAACAAATTGAGGCCTAAAAATAAAGAAGGGTAACAGCACATCTGCTACAATGAACCGAATACACAACAAAGTCTTTCTTGGTCCATACACACACATGCAGTTCTGATGTAGTTATTGTACAGAACAGTACATAAGTAAGAATAGTAACGATCGTGATTGTAAAATTGTGAGTGTAATTAAACTAAAAGTGTTATTAACATGGAACAGTGGAGGTTAATAAGGGGTGATTCAGCGAGTGAGTATTATATTCTTTGTTTCTGTTTAAGTACAGTTCGTTACAGGATGGTACAATAACACATTATTCAGCTAAAATTTAACAAAGTCTTCAATTTTTTTAATTCTTCTCGACGACAAGGCAGAATAGGAAACATCTGAGGCTCATTTATGATACTTTATCTGGACCTAACCTTGAACTGCAGCTAATACAAGACAAACTGTGAAAGTGCAGAGGGCTGCAGTGAGCTAATTCACATATTCCATTAGCTACACTCTTAAAAAAGAAAAAAAAAATTGAAGCGTTCTTTAATAAAAGCAATATTTAATACCATGAGTTCTACATAGAACCATTTTAAGCTTAAATGGTTCTTTGCATGGAGAAATGGTTCTTCAGATTGATTTTGAATGTGTTGTATTTGGTCCTATATAGACCCTTCTTGAAAATGGTTCTATGTGGGACCAAAAGGGATGTTATGATGTCAGGCTTGTAACAACAGAATTTGTTCTCCATTCTCCATCAATCTGAAGAACCATTTCATCATTTAAAGAACCATTTAAGCATGATATATATATATATATATATATATATATATATATATATATATATATATATATATATATATAACTCACTGCCTTAAATAGAACCACTGCTTTCACTAAAGAACCTTTGAAGAACACTCTTTTTAAGTATGTATTTATTAACCTTACTTTATGCAGCTATAGCTCTATTATTATAAATAGCATCATCAATCTAAGCTTCTCACACCTGAGCAGCATTTTACGGCTGATTCTGGAGATCTTTGCTCTTGCCGTGCTGTAAAAGATGAAAGGTTTAAAGGAGAATTTTTTTTTTTATTTCTACAAAATTAAATCATTGAGATGTAAACAGAATCATTCCAAGTGGTTTGATTTGAAATGGTTCACTGTAGAAAAGCATACAAACTCAGACTTATTTATAGTGGTGATGATAAGAACCAGGAGTCTATGTAAATGTGCTGTAAATGGTTCTAAATAGAACCTTTTTGAAAAGGGTTTTATATAGCACCGAAAAAGGTTCTTCTATTGTTGCAATGTCAAGCCTGTAACAATAGAAGAACCCTTTTTTGGTGCTACATAAAACTCTTTTTTATAAAGCTTGTATATAGAACACATTCTCCATCAATGTGAAGAACCCTTTCATGATGCAAAGAACCTGTTTATCTTGCAAAGGATTCTTTGAGTGCTCATGGTCTAAATAGAACCATTTTCTTTACTGAAAACCCTTGAAGAACCATCTTTTTAAAGAGTGTTTTCAACACAAATACAACCATTTTATTTATGCAAAACAACCAGTTTTATGGTTTAAATCTTACTGCAAATATATAGATATATAATGTCTCAGGCAACATATTCTGTAAAAAAAACTATAACCATTTCATGTACTAAGTTTCTGTGAGGGAGCTTTTAAATGTGGATGTCTGGTTCCTATCACCACCACTGTGAACAGTTCTGACTCTGTAAGCTTCTCTAGAACGGAACATTTCACATGACTTTGTTTACATCTTAGCTAAGTTCACTGCTAAAGCTTAATTTTATGATCAACCAGGGCAAAGTTTCACATCACGCAGCCAGAAGAATATATTTGTGGGAGAGACTTTAAAGGGGGGTGGGATTTGGGCAATGCAACATGAAAATTCATACCATTTAATTTAAGAGTTACAGATTAGATTTGTGCTTTATGCTTATATATTTTAACAACAATGACATATTATATGGCTGTTTTGTATAATAATAATAATAAAATAATAACATTATTATATAACATTCTAATATATCTAATATATATATATATACATATATATATATATATATATATATATATATATATATATATATATATATATATACTTATTATTATTAAATAGAATATATATTATACCTCACTCAAAAGAACCAATTAACCATTCAAAGAACCATTTATGCATTCACCTGGGTCTTTTAGATATAACATTTAACCATAACCTTTACTAAAGAACCTTTGAAGAACCTTTTTGATGTTATAGGCTCATATTTTTACATAAAGTTTCAATCTAAGTCAGAAACTACATTCTATAACTTAAAATACCTGCAAAGATTTGTATAATATGTTCTTAAAAACCCTTAAAAAGGTTCTTCAAGAGTTCTTTAGTAATGGCATTGGTTCTATATTGAACCATGAACTGTGAACACTCAAACAACTATTTAAATGCATAAATGCTTCTTTGTTGGGTTAAATGGTTCTTCTCTGTAATGGGAATCATTCTTCTTTGAAAAACAAACAACAACAAAAAAAACACTTATTTAAAAATGCTTCTACATGGCACCAAAAAGGGTTCTGCTATTGTTACAAGCCAAATGTTTTTTTTTATTTTTTGTGTCTCTATAAAACCATTTTTGCTAAAAGCAAACAATGAATGTAATATAAAAATGATCTAAACACAATTTTAAATTAGTGGTAAACTTTTCATCTTTATTACTTATTTATTAGTTCTTTTTTCTTTATTGTCATTTTGTCTCTGGGATATGTATTTTATTTCCACTAGACGTAAGAAAACTCACGTTGCAGTTTTGTGTTTAGACACTCTGGCGCTCTTCTCGGCCTTGACGTATCTACACCCTGATAAGACAAGCCACTATCAGACCAGTAGGCTTAATTGTTTTATCATCTCATCTTCTATCATTTTGTGGGTTGTGGACAGTTCTGTGCTGTTTTGGCCAAAGTGTCTGTATAACGAGAATTTGGCACAAGCCAGCCTTGCATGAAGTCCTACACGTGATCCACTGGGTCTCACAGTTTGCTGGTGTTAGACATTAGCCGTGATAACTGAATGGCTTCATATTTTGGGGTAACACTGCACGTTTCTGAGCAGAACAGTGCATTACACTGTTAGTGTCAATAGCCCAGTTTCTCTGCTTTGAACTCAGTTTAGTCATAAAATGTAAAAAATGCCAATATATAGATTTATGTACAAACTTCAAGCCTAAAATACTAACAGTTTTACTGCTGGTTTTGGGCTGGTCAGAGTCCAGAATTAAACCCTGTAGAGAATATTTGTTCTCACATTAAACCCAAACTAGCCCGGAAATGTTTTTCAGTTGTTTCAAGCCAACAATACTGAACAACACTGACTCTTGAAATCAAAGGGAGAAGCTATCCCATTATTTTATCTACTTGTTTAATGGTTTGTTGTTGACGCCATTAAAAGTTTAATGTTTTACCATTTTGGGCTTGGCCAGTTTTTTTGTTGTTTTTTTTGGCACGGGGGTGTTATGTTCATTTTCAAAGTGAAAATAAGATCTTCTAGATGGAGCAAATGTTCATTTTAATGCACGTTTTCTATTTACTTGCTTAGTTTAAAATACAGGGAAAAACAAAAAATGCATGAAACAGTTTTTTTCCCCCAATATGTTCAATTTAGCAAGTAAATGGTACTTGTGCATTAAGATGCGTGCGTCCACTTTGTGTGTCCGCTCACTTAGAGAACCAACAGAAACATATCATTAGACCGGGGTGCCTAAACTTTCGCACAAACTGTAGATATACAGAGTTTGCGTTTTATATCGTATAGAAAATACAGAGTGTCACAAATGAAGGCCAGAGCAGAGGATGTTGGTTATGTAACAGAGATATGACAGGCTGTATAAGATTCTAGATAAGCTCTCTGGATGTTCTACTCTGAGATCTCCGATTCCGTCTCTGTCTCAGTCACTGCGCATGAAGAGAAAACGAACCAGTACCACACAAATCTTTACAGCTGTGCTCCTTCATCAGGGCTCAGCAGCCAGCAGTACCTCAATGAGGGGCTCAGAGCTGCCCTCCTCGCATTTTTCCTGCAGTTCTCCCTTCCTTCCAGCAGGAGGCGCGCTGACACAGCGGCTGACGAAAGGTGTGGGAAAATAAATAAACGTGCAAAAATAAAAACACTGTCTTCCATTAAAACCGTCCAAAGCTTCATCATATAAATGCGTGTTTATCATAAGCGCATCCGCGCGGCCATCAGCTCGTCATTAAATGTGAATGATGTCCAAAGGCTTCTGAGATAACTGGCCTACATTCAGCCCACGCGCATCGCCACTGATTAGCGCTCGTGGGCCATCACCTTTGAGCAGTGACGTGTGCGCGCGCGCGCGTGTAAGGTGAAGGTGTATAAAAGCAGCTCCTCAGGTGGCTCTTCAGCTCAGGTGGACTCTTTGGGTTAAGCTGCTCAACTTCAAGCTTCTGCAAACAAAGACAGGTTAGTGGGTTTATATATATATATATATATATATATATATATATATATATATATATATATGTGTGTGTGTGTGTGTGTGTGTGTGTATATATATATATACATGAACATCATTTTAGGATTTTGCATCCTTTTTTGCATCCTTTCTTGTTCTAGTGTGCATGTTTAGTTGTTTGTGTACATATAGTATTGTGCAATAGTCTTAGTCCCCTGAGAAGATTATATTTAAAAAGCAATGTAACTGAGCACTACAAGACGAATATTAGAATAATTGTTTGCCCAGTATTATTTGAAGTTCCAGTCGTGTGCAGAAGTGTGTGCACCCCTGGGTACATGTTTTTATTTGTTTTCTGAGTTTGCACAGACGTTTAGAGAGAACACACTTATTTTGCATTTTAATGCACACTCACTGTTTATTTGCTGAATTTAACACGCTGGGAAAAATAAAACATAGAATGTGGCCTGTGCAAAAGTTATGGCACATTTTATCTTTAATATTTTATTGTTTTAAACTCAGCAAATAAACAAAAACTGTGCACTAAAAAGTGCCATATTTAGCTTCCCTGTAAAGGAGATGTCAACTTATTTACTCTTAGAAAATCAACAAAATGTGTAATCTGACCAGGGGGGTTAAAACTTTTGCATACAACCTTATTTTTCAGTACCAGGTTTCCTGTGTTCTTCTAAGCAGCTCACAACATCTCAGTTTTTTACTTAAGTTTTTGTGTATTTATATATATTTTCTTCTTATATTTTATTGCATAAATATTTGTTTGTGTTTATTCTAATATTATAAAGGGTTTTTTATGGCAACAATACATACTATCCAGATAAAAGGTTTTATATTATTTGCTTTGGTGCCTGAAACGTTTGCCCAGTACTCCATAAATACAAAAAGTTTAAGAGTGGACTTTTTTCTCTTCATGTACTTTAGTGTTTGGGATACATTTTATAATTAAATATATCTTATATTTTTTTATATATTTATATAAATACATATTTGAAATATATCGTAAGTATAAAAAATACCTCCTGTATTTCCCCTTTTTTATTATTTTTTATGTTTCTTAATCTCATCTTTTGTTCTCAAAGGATGAGATGTCCTTTATGGCGTCTGGCACCGAGCTTTCGTTTATGGCGTTTAGCAGAGCGGTGTACAGTTTAAAAACCCTGATCTGAGCTTTAAAACCGTACACCGCTCCAGATAAGAGCTTCTGCCAAATGTTACAGAGGCAGGCGAGTGTACAGTTAGGAGTCTTGCCCAAGGACACTTATTGGTACAGGGTGGTGTGATGAGGGTTGATAAGCAATGCACGAATGCAGAAGGTTTGTGCGGTTCTTATGATGTCCTCTCTAGCGCTGATGACATTATCATGAGAGTCTGACAGGGAGCAAATCAATCCATCACATGTGGAGGAATCATCATGGTGATAAGGCTTTATGAGGTCAGTTTCAGGAACATCATTCATCCTCTGCTGACTGATCAGTAGGTGGAGTGTGTTGGAGTGCAGAAATAGATGAGCTCTGCTCAGGAAATAGTTCAGTTATTGGTTCAATATAAGCCATTAGCTCCAGAATGGATCTGAAAGCAGAGGGAGGAAGTTCACAATGGCCAGCAGAAAGGTGAACCTGCACTGGATTTTACTCAAGAAAACTCTTATTAGAGAAAGAATTGAGGTTAAAAGTGTGTAGTTTAATATACTGTTTCTACATCAGCCTGCTGGGGAGCTCATGCTGCAATCAGACAGTCGGATAAAAAAGACAAGGCCTACATTACCTTCACTTACCATACAAACACACAGCTGAAAAGCCTTATAGACATTCTCACTCCTTTTTTTATGAATGTCTTCATTACAGTGTTACTTCAGATCAGGATTAGAACACGAGCTCCTGTGAAAAGCTGACAAATATTTCTCGTTTTCTCACCTTCTGCTGTTTTTCCCCTCTGTTTCAGACGATGGCTCCGCGGCCAGAGCTTGGCAGTGACCCTGCAGTTTCTCCTCCAGACCTCGGTGGGTCCTTCTCTCTCTTTTTCTTCCTTTTTTCTTTCTTTTCTTCCCTCTTTCCTGCTTATCTTTCCTTTATTCATGATTTTCTTCCTTCCTTCCTTCCTTCTTTCTTTCCTTCTTTCCCATTTTCTCCTTGCTTTCTCTCTTTTGTCTTCTTTTCCTCCATCTTTCTTTCTTTCCCTTCTTTTTTCCCCATTTCTTTTTCCTTTACCTTTATTTCTTCTCTCTTCCTTCCCTCTTTTCTGGTCTTTCTCTGTCATTTCCGTCATGTTTGCTGCTTTGTTTCCTTCTTTTTTCCCCTCTGTCCTTCTTTTCTTCCCTCTTATTTCCTTTTCTTTCCTCTTTCCTTCTTTCCTTCCTTATTTTCCCTTTTTTCCTTTCTTTCTTTTCTTCCCTCTTTTCTTTTCCTGGCTTTTAATTCATTTTCTTTATTTTTTACCTTGTTCCTCCTTTCTTTCCTTCCTTTCTTGCCTTTCTCTATCATTTCCATCACTTCATTCTTTTCTTCCCACTTATTTTCTTTTCTTCTTCTTCTCTTCCATCTTTCTCTCTATCCTCTTTTCTTTATTTTTTTCTGTTCTTTTCTCCTACACATTCACAGCTCATGTTGTTGGTTCTCTCGTGGCTGTTTTACAGATGGTAAAGACACTAAAGACACTCTGTCTAATGACGCGATCGTGTTGCCTGCGTACTCCACTGTGGCCCTAGTTGACACAGAGCCGGACAACGCTATTGATCCATGGCAGCTTCCAGAGCTGCAGGACACAGGGCTGAAATGGTCAGGTGAGTTGAGTTCAGGACATATTCTGTTGGGAATAAGTGAACTGAGTGCGCTCAGAATGCTCAATGTCTTGTTTGTGTCCATGCAGAACTGGACACGAAGGGCAAAATTCTTCGAGTGTTCACCTCGGTGGCCAAGTGCATCCTCCTGCTGGGGTTCCTGTACATGTTCGTCTGCTCCCTGGACATCCTGAGCTCTGCCTTTCAGCTGGTGGGGGGTACGTTCAGTAACGACTGTGAGCTACAAGTGCAAAAATGAATTATGATCAATTTGACACTGATAACTTTGGACTTATAAGGGTTCATCCTTCAAACCTCAGGCTTATTATTAACAGTAAATACTACCCATAGCATCTACCAAAGTAAGTTATGTGGTTATGAGAGCGAAGAATTGACGTGTGGCCCTGCTAATGAGGAGTTATTAGCACAGACAATGCAAAGGTTGAAACAATAAAACCACATTTTTCCAACGATAACACACAACTTGCTGTAAACGATGCTATTTATGATGGTGCCCCACTTTTCCCAAGGCCTGTAGTTAATGTGTAGACTCGTTGGAGCGTCCTTATCTTTACCTTGTTTGAACATAAAGAGAGATATTCCTGGCACAGGTGATGTGATGTTCACTGAATGTGTATTGTTTTTCACAGGGAAGGCAGCTGGAGATATCTTTCAGGACAATGTGGTGCTGTCTAACCCCGTGGCAGGGCTAGTCATTGGAGTGCTGGTCACTGTGCTGGTTCAGAGTTCCAGCACTTCTTCATCAATCGTGGTCAGCATGGTGTCTTCTGGATGTAAGTGCACCTGGATGTAATGAATATATACACAACTGTTCAAAAGATGGGAATCGTTTAATTGTTTTATTTTATACACAGTAATAACTTATTAAGTTATAATTATACATACACAATAGATTTCAATATTATAAACTAAAGGCTGAAAAAAGTATTGTAGGTGTTCTGTTCAATATTAAAAGTTTTTATTGTGAATAAGTTATTAAATGATGAATAGTGTACTACAATTACAGATTAATAATGCTGTAATTACCTATTAATAATAATGTTTGGTTAAATCTGCCTCAAGACTCGAGTCATTTTATACATTTTCTTTCTCACAAGTATACATACAAATTTATATATATATATATATATATATATAGACTTCTTGTCCCATATAAGGTACTCACCTACATATAGAGCGACTAAGCCTAAGTCTGAACTAATTGAGTGCTGGTTGTGCTCTGCAGTGCTGGAGGTGCAGTCGGCAGTGCCAATCATCATGGGCGCCAACATCGGCACCTCCGTCACCAACACCATTGTGGCCGTCATGCAGGCCGGAGACCGCAATGAGTTCCGCAGGTAAGCCAAAACAGTTTTGTGATATCTGGCTGATCAATGATTCCCTTGGATGGACTTCTCTACTCTACATACATCTTAAGGCACATACATCTGGTAAATTCCATAACATTATCAGCTTTTTCAGTACCTTCTCATATTATTATCACTAACCCATTATTGTGCCTCTGTCTTCCAGGGCCTTTGCTGGAGCCACTGTGCATGACTTTTTTAACTGGCTGTCCGTGTTGGTGCTGCTTCCTCTGGAGGTGGCCACGGGTGTCTTGTTCAAGCTCACCAAACTCGTCATCGACTCCTTCCACATCCAAACGGGCCAGGATGCCCCAGACCTGCTCAAAGTCATCACTCAACCACTCACCAAGAACATCATTGAGGTGAGGGCCCAAACCCACCAAACAGCTCCACATACAAGCGTTAGTCTTCTATACTGATTTCCCTTTCAGGCCAGTGAGTGGTACAACTAGAAAGAATATTCCTACTGAAGTAAGAGTACTACTCAGGTACTACTATGCAAGTTAATATACGCCTTACAAAAAACATGGTTTCTGAAGGGGTTTTATTGACAAGATGAGCCTGGCATTAACACTAGCTTGCATTAGCTAAATAAGCAAGCTAACGGGCACTCACAATAGAACACATAGGCCTATACGCTACTATACAACTACTAGCTTTAGGTTTGATAAAAAGCTGGTTTGGTTGTTATTTGATTGTATACTAATATGTATATAATATATATACTATTCAGCTATATATATTGTATACTAATACTATATACTACTCAGCTTCTAGTTACAGTATGTGAACATTTCTTTGTGAATAGACCAAATAAACAGTCCAGAATGACTTTTTTAAGTTACCGAGACTGTCCAAATTTTTCTTCTTTGCTTTAAAACTTGAGCTGCCATGCTAACACTGCTAACAAACACTTGTGCCTAAACACCTGGTGTCATTTTAATAGTTCACAGTAAGTCACACTGTGGCCTAAACCACATCTGTGCAATGTTCATGAAGATCTGTTTGATTTGAAGGAAGTTGAGAGAAGTTTCAGGGATGTTTTTCACAGAAAAGATTTGGGTGACTATTGGTGTCTAGTGTCCAGCTCCAGCATGAAATTTAAGATGAAAAATGTGGGCACTAAACATGTCTTGACTGATCAACTACATCTGCTGTAAGTGGAAAATTGTGTAAATTAGATTTTCCACCAAACTGTTCTTATAAGAAAGTTCATTTCTATGAAGCTGCCGGTTTGGCGATACAAAGTTTTCTCATGGCAGCAAAACCTCAGTAGCTCTCTGGCCCTGAACCACATGCAGTGACTCATTAGAATGGACTGTTTGGAATGTGATCCCTGTTCGAGAAAGTTTGACACACTTTCAAAACTGTTCTGTTTTTGAGTATATGCTGCTGTCCTTGACTCACTGAAACTGCTCGCGAGCTCTGAAGTGTTGTTTTTTCAACAGTTGACTGTCCACACGGACAGCAAGTCATGAGCATACTGAATTAGTAACTGACCTCACACTATATGTGATTCCGCTCCCGCTCCTAGATTGAACACTACGCAGTTTGAGTTTAAATAATAATTTTGTGTTGGAATTTTTGTCTCATCTCATCACATTCCTCTGTTCTCCTTCCTCACAGCTGGACAGCTCTGTAATCAGCGACATCGCTGTCGGTGACCCCAGTGCTCGGAACAAGAGCCTGATTAAAACATGGTGCAAAAAGGAGAAGATTACGGTAAGGAATGAGAATCTCAGCAAACCTGCTGTATAAACCTTCCGCTGCTTCCTCATTTCCTCAAATTCTGGGAAAATATTTACAATCACAGTGAAAGATATCCAAGATAGGTATTCTACCTAATGGTTGCAATATCTTACTCTACATTTTCCCGTGTTAATATGTAACAACACTCAGTCAATACTGAAAGTGTGAAAGAACTGCTTTGGATTGTGTTTCTAGCCATGAGATATGGATAAAGATATACAGATGGGTGAAAAATTGAAGGAAAAACTGACCTGAAGTGTCTTAGTAAGGTGCTGGACCACCACGAGCCACCAGAACAGCTGGGCATAGATTCTAGAACTGTACTAAAGGGACAGAACGACATTCTTCCATATCCCTATGCTTGGCATTGGGCATGATGACCTTCATGTGTGGCTGCTTCAGAGAGTTCTATTCTGTTGGCAATGCTTTTCTATGGTTATTATACCACAATGGTGTCAGAAGTGGGTGCACCTCAAAATACCTGATTTCATTAATTAGAAAGGGTGTCTGAATACTTTTGGACATGTATTGTAAATACTATAAATTTACTATACACAGTGAATAGGCCATATATTGTGTATGTGAGTTCACAATGTGTTTGCACTCGACAAATATTTTTGATCTTGGCTCTAAGCATAGTAAGCACGTGGTACTAACTTTCCTCCTTTGATGTTTCAGAGTCTCATGAACATCACAGTGCCTGGGGAAGCTAACTGCACCATTGGTGCCCCCTGCTGGGTGGAGGGCAACGAGACATGGACGCAGGCAAACGTAACAGAAACCATCAACATAGCAAAATGTGAGTAACTCGTATTTGATGCAGGTTTTTTTGCGACACGGCTAGATCAGCTGAGGTGCGGTCTGTTATTACAGCTTCACAAAGAGCAGATCCTCTCCATCTCCACAGACCCAAACCCTCAGACCACAACTCCAACCACCAGCCACTCGGCTGCGAGGACAATGGCTTTCTTTCATTGCTGTATGATTCAGCAAACGTAACCCCACCCCCACCCCCTCCACTCTAACTGCTCAATGGACCTATTCTTCTCTCTGGGAGGGTCTACCTGGGGCCATCAAAACCAAACAAAGAGTAGTAGCCAATCGAGCAGGAAGGCTCGCGGTCCAAGGTCGCATTTGGCTGATCAAAACGAAGGCGCAGGTCAACTCGCCTGCGCTCGGGTTTGATGGTGAAATTTCAGCCTGGTTATGGCTCAGTGGTCGTAGAAGGGCTTAAATGCATCCTTTGGCCTTTTAGCCAGGGAAGATTATTATTCACTGTTTATCAGAATTCAGCGCTCACGGCTTCCTGTACTGAACACCGTGAGAAGTAAACCGAAGCACTTGCTTGTGCGCCACTTATCTGCCTGTGCCTGCTTTCCCACTAACGTTCCTCAGCGAGCATGGCATGTTGTAGTAAAACTGTAGTAAAAGGTTTCAACCAGCACCTAAATTCTGAAGAAAGTACAATTTATATCCCATGTATAAACTCTCAGAAATAAATGTGCCAAAAAGGGTTTGGAGTGATACCATAGAAGAACCATTTTCAGTTCCCTAAAGAACCTTTCAATGGATTTAAATGAGATGAGTGAGTGTGAAGAACCATTTAAAACACTTTAAATGGTCAGCAAACTTTCATGACCCACTTTAGAATAAGATTACTCTTATGAAGGGTTTGGGAATGGTTTAAAATGAGCCTCTTAATGGTTATTAAAGCTCATAACACCTTAAACCTCATTAATAAACAGGCATAACACATTAATAAAAAGGGCAAAAGTAACCTGTTATAACCAATGAATGTGAGTATCTGATGAAGCTGACAGGTTTGATGCTGACTGATAGAAAAGACAAAGGAATACAAGTAAGCAGCAAGAACTGAGGATTAAGAGGTTAAGTAATCTATGTGTCGTTACGGTTTAATAAGGATTTTCAGGTATTTCTGACCTAATTAATATACATTCAGTAACCTTTTATAAGGGTATTCTAAAGTGGTACTCTAGTTTCTATAATGTAGGAATAAGCAGATTGCATTATGGTCTATGTAGTTGCTGAACAGTACATCTTAGGATGTAAAAAGCCTCATGTTTTAAGGGGTTAAAGAACCTCCACATAATGTGAAGGTTCTTTATCAATTAAATGTTTTCCCTAGAACCATATATCCAAAGAAAGAAAGATTTATTTGGAACTGTATGTGGGCCAATACTCACACAACAGTTAACCTCTACAACAACAGTTAACCTCTAAATGAACATTTGATGACTTCATTGTGCACCCAGGCTGACTAGCATTAGCTGACCAATCCAAGTGGCCATATTTGCTTCCTTTACATTGCTTTAACATTTAATTGATGTTTATCCCTCTTTTCTCTCTTGCTCTCATTCCAGGTAAGCATCTGTTTGTGAATGCGAACCTTCCAGACCTGGCAGTTGGGCTGATTCTGCTGGCTCTGTCGCTGCTGGTGCTGTGTACCTGCCTCATTCTCATCGTCAAGCTGCTCAACTCCATGCTCAAGGGCCAGGTGGCTGTGGTCATCAAGAAGGTGCTCAACACAGGTGAGCCAACACCTGCCGCTACACTGTAGGAAATGAAAAGTCACCATCAAGGTGCCCTCAAGTATAAAATGAGTAACCGGAATCGATTCGTCTTCTAGGAAAGTAAACAAATGCCGTAATCCATGGACATTTAATGTTAAGCCGCGTAGTGGAATCTGTTCGGCTACCGCATTCATTCAGTAAACAGTCATTCTGATGATCCCTCTTGCTCTTCTTTGTCAGGGCACATTGTGTTTTTGAACTTAGGGCTATCATTAGCAATGGCTGGCTTCAAAGAAATGATTGAAGTGGTGTAATTTCAGGCCTACCATCATTATTTCCACTATCGCTATTCGAGAACTTGCAAGTCCTGTAATATGATAGTCAGTGCAGGTTCCCCCGTCCTGCTGTCTGATGAGCTAAACAGGTACAAAAACTTTTAGCCTGTTGCTCTCTCTGTGTCTGAGCACATCACTCATATGTGTGCATCCCTCAGGTGACAAAGAGAGCCTAGGTACACTATACATTGGTGCTGCCTCTAGGGGTGGGCGATATGATGATGTGGTATAGATATCATGATAAATTATGTCATAATAGGCTTTTCTGAGCATATTGTGGCTATTGTTGGTACTGAACATGCTTATAAGATCCTAAAACATAATTATCAATAACACTGACTACAAACGCAAACTGACTGAGATATTGCTGAAGTGTGTAATGAGTTTTGACCACTGAAGTGGTGAATCTGTTTAATGTTTCATTTTGTCTGTTGTAACTTATTAAACCTCAGAAAACGCAAACTATCTTGATATTATGTTGCCCACCATAGACACCTCCATCTGAACTTCATGCATGTACCACATCCTATTGATCATGACGCCATAGCGTTTTTGGGAAGTGTAGCATTGCGTCATATTTGAGCTCTATGGTTATGTTGTTTTCGCCGAGTAACACCTCTTGATTCCTCTTTGCAGATTTCCCCTTTCCATTCTGCTGGGTCACGGGTTACCTCGCTATCTTGGTGGGAGCGGGAATGACCTTCATCGTGCAAAGCAGCTCCGTCTTCACCTCCGCCATTACGCCACTTGTTGGTTAGTATGAGCTAAGACTCTTTATTCAGAGCCACACATCATGACTGTACTGCGAAGTAAGACAGACAGGAAAAGACTGTCACGTCTTTATACACTACTGTACAGACGGTTAGGTCATATATGGTCAAACATAATTTCATCAGGGGCACCAAACCTTTTGCATATAACCATATAAATAACTGTATAACTAGGGTCATCATGTCTATTTCAGCTTCAAATGTCAGTGTCTTATAATATGTGTGACTTTTCAAAATCTCATCCTTCTCATTACCCTCTGTCCAGGTATTGGTGTTATTAGCATTGAGCGAGCCTATCCTCTTACACTTGGCTCCAACATTGGGACAACAACGACTGCTATTCTTGCTGCTATGGCCAGCCCTGGAGAAAAACTGGCCAACTCACTGCAGGTTGGTACCCTGATCTTATTACATTAATTAAAGTGACTCGCATTCTTCCTTATAGAAGTAGTGCTTTTAAAACAATAGTGTACACAGCACAGTGCATTTCTCCTTTATTAGTCCTACTTTATTAAAGGGATGCCTTCTGAAGCTCCTGTTGCATGTTTGGACAAGTTTTACTGAATGTTGACAGAAATCTAATTCAACTTAATGAGAAACTTAACTTTGCCTAACTTTAAAGTGCTTTATTAATTTGTTTTATTGTTTTTGTAAGGTGAGAATAGGTCAGTTCGGATAGAACAGGTGTTGTTTTTTGTCATGTAATCTTTTCCTACGACAGAAAGCAGCACTGTTTAAATTATAATTCTACATAGATGGTGCAGGCTAACGTTATCATAGCTAAAGCCAATGAACTTTCTGCTGGGCCTATGAATCAGTTCCATGTTCCATAAAAATCTCAGCTAAACGACTAGCAAAGTTTTATGAGGTAAATAATGTCTACGTGCACTCGCACTGTATCTGAATGCTGTAGCTGCACCAATACCTAAATGTAGCATAATTATACATGAGCCATTGAGCTAAATAGCTAGTTTCAATGTAGCACTTTATTTGAGTCATGTTATGTAAGTAGGTGAGGTGATTTTTTTATGCCATTCAATGCACATAATGTTATTTATGTTGCAACTTTGGCTGATATTAAGTACTGAAAATGTGCAATAAAGTTAAAAAAAAAGAATAAAACCTGCCAAAAATTGTCCATTGTCGAATTTGTCTGTAAAGAAATTGGACAATCGAAACTTCAGTAATTTTGACAAAAGCTACTACCTTTTTCATTAAGCTGAATGGGATTTCTTCCAGATTGTCCAGCCTCACAACAGAAAGAACACATTTGTCTGGGCACAGTCTGGACAGCTCAACTGAGCTCTGGCAGGATATACTATATTTGCAATCTTCATCAGTATTGACAACCCGCTAATGTGTGTCATCTCCTTTCAGATCTCGCTGTGTCACTTCTTCTTCAACATCTTTGGCATTATCCTGTGGTACCCTGTCCCCTATCACCCGCGTGCCCATCCGGCTGGCCAAAGCGCTAGGTGACCGCACGGCCAAGTACCGCTGGTTTGCCATAGTCTACCTGATCCTGTGCTTCTTCCTCCTGCCCCTGTTGGTGCTGGGGCTGTCCATCGCCGGCTGGCAGGTTCTGGTGGGGGTTGGGGTGCCGGTGTTGACTGTGGTGGTCTTCGTGGTGGTGGTCAACATCATGCAGTCCCGCTGCTCGCGCTTCCTTTTTCCTCCTCTCCGCAGCTGGGAATTCCTGCCCAAGCCTCTCCACTCGCTCAAGCCATGGGACCGCGTGGTCACCAAGGTCCTGGGCTTCTGCGGGGCGCACTGCTGCTGCTGCTGCAAATGCTGTAAGAAGGGAGAGGCGGACGGCGAGAAAGAGGACGGGATGGAGACGAAGAAGGGGCTGGAGATGTACGACAACCCTGCGCTTTGTGTGGAAGATGAGAAGATCCAAGTTCAGACAGTATCTGGAACACATTTGTAGCATGTAATATAGTGTATAGCTTATACATAAATATATATAAAGCTCATTATGTAGTATAATTTAATGTCATGCTGAATGGGGCTTGAAGGAAGCTGGCTAATCTGTCTGAGCTGCTTTCGTCTTCAACATCTATGGTATTATGCTGTGGTTGCCAGACGGTTCCTCCGGGCCTAATAAGGGAACCTATGGTGACCCAAAAGGGACTTTTTGATCTAGAGAATATGCTGTAAACAAAATCCATCTGTAGCAATTTAAGATCCCATTGAAAAAGGGTTGCATGTAGCTTCACTTGGACTTTATGCTCATCATACTCATCACACTTTTGTTCTTTGTCTGCTGTAACACCCCAGTTTCAACTTATTCACCAATTATTAGGCTCTTCAAGAGCTCTGGCAATATATATCCTGGGTCTATTACTTTCAAGGGTTCTGTCTATTCGGAGAACGCTCTGGTTCTATTTCTAAGCTTTATTTCAGAGGGTTATTATACAGTTACAAAAAGAACTTGCAAAACTGTTATTTACGCCAAACTGATCATGCTATTCTAGCCTTCTTAACAACAGTGTTTTTTGATATTGTGTCTCCATGTTAGATAGTGTCTATCTCAGTGATGTACAATGAAAAATAAAAATGGAGACCGCCTTCATTATTTTTTCTTAAATATAACACTGAAAATATTTTGTTTAAAACTATTTAAAGAATTTTATTTTTTGAATATTTGTAAAGAATGAAATTTGCTAACTCTTAAATGCACAGATTTTTAAGCAGTATGCAACTTGTATCGCAACGTATTTGCATTATTTTTATGAAACGTGTTTCCAAAGACTTGTGACCTCTGGACAAGGATCACTGTAGACTGCCTGTAATGTACTGTATATAAAGATTTTACAGCAGTCAGAACTGTAAAGTAAAGACTGTAAATAAATATTTAAAACAAGTTGATGTTCGTGGTGTGGTTCTGTATGGGTTACAATGTGCGGGTGTGGGTGGGTGTGGATGGGAGTTCAACTACACACTAGTCTCAACATGGCCACTTCATTAAGTTCAGTTTCTTGTTTCTACACTCATTGTCCATTTTTTCAGCTTCACTTAACATATAGGTGCGCTTTGTAGATCTACAACAAACACTGTGTCCACTCACTGCCCACTCTATTAGACACTCCTATCTTGTCAGTCCACCTTGTAGAGGTAAAGTCAGAGATGATAGCTCATCTGCTGCTGCACAGTTTGTGCTGGTCATCCTCTAGTCCTTCATCAGTGGTCACAGGACACTGTTGGCTGGATATTTTTGGTGGGCGGACTATTCTCAACAGTGACGCTGAGGCGTTTAAAAACTCCAGCAGCACTGCTTGTCTGATCCACTCAGACCAGCACAACACACACTAACACACCACCACCTCACTCAGTCAGTGTTACTGCAGTGTTGAGAATGATCCACCATCCAAATAGTACCTGCTCTGTGGTGGTCCTGTGGACCTAACTATTGAAGAACAGGGTAAAAGTGGGCTAACAAAGTATGCAGAGAAACATATGGACTACAGTCTGTAACTGTAGAAGTGCACCTTCATGTAAATGGAGCTAATAAAATGGACAATGAGAGGACAACTGGTGCACTTAATGAAGTGGCTGGTCAGTAGAAATTTAGAACAGTACACATTAGGTTTTTTTTTCGGTTTATTGTGTTTATGTTATCAGGGACCATACATGTGCCATAATCTCATAAGAAAAGGTGCTTTGTGCCAGACTTGGCTAACTAGCTAATCTCTGCAGTCCCTGGCCAGGTAAACATGAGTAATACAGAATAAGTAAAACACACATTAAAAATACAAAATACAATAACACCACACAATCTAAATCATAAGCACATTCCTAAATCTAAAGATTAAGCCCCAAAACTGGCAATTCTATATCTCATCCGTGGTGGATTTAGTGTACATGACAGTATAAGCTGGGCTTTTTTATGAATTAAATTGCAGGAAGAACCATTCTAGTGTAAGACAGCAATGCTGTTGATACATCATTTGCGAGAAACAGGGTGGGGGAATCTTTGTAATGGATTGTATTACATGGAACAGGCTTTGGGAGGGGCTGGTCATAGCAAGCCACTCCCAAAACTAAACTTCCACAATTCATACGTTTGCAAGTGTCTGTCACATGACTCAACGTAGATACAGTCATAAAGCTCAGCCCGCTGCCAGAGTATATGACAGTAAGGCTTCTTAGGATTAGCCAACACTACAACCAGTGTTGAAAAATGTGACAGTCCCAATTCATAATGACAGATTTGGAAGATTTTTTGTTCTTAGTTGTCATCAAACCCCCCACACTACAAGATTTTCCCAGAACAAAACACAACTCACATTCAAATTCTGCTCTTGAACCAAGAAGCCCGTTTCAGAACAAACAAGACTACAGCAAGTCGTTAGCTTAGCGCAAACACAGCAAACTCCATGGAGGTGCTAGCAGAAATTAGCATTATCATAGCTGTGGTATTTGGATAAATAAGGTTTTAAGCCAAGTCTGTGGCCTTCATTAGCCTTTCCTGTCAGTTGTCTACGCCTGCTTTTCTGTACATTTCTCAACATGATTGATATATGAAGGTTATCTTACTCATCCTACTAATAGTGTAACATCTTATCAAGAACTAATTGAAGCACGGTACTGGCTTAGTACATTCCTCTTTGACGTTTGCCGGCTTTATGAGGGCCTATCAGTGGATATCTGATGACCTGAGTGTTTTTTGTTCCAGAGGAGAACTTTGTTCTGATGAAAGACACAAGGGAAAGTTTTTAAGACTGGCAGATTCTGTAAATGCGCTTACGTACTGTTATTTACTGAGGAACTGCTTATTAAGAGTCTTGCTAACAGCAGGAAGGTTAAATTAAAGTCTGTCTAATGTGAAATTAAGGTACCTGAGTTCATTGTAGCATAGCTAACAAAAGGACCTGAGAGTAGATCTACCACTGACTACTGGCAGTGGCAAACTGTGGAACACAGTAATGCTAATTTGTGCTAGCGCCCCTGTAAGATTTAAGTAGTATGTTAGCACTAAGCTAGCAGTGATTACCATGAACATTTCTGGCTGTTCTAGATTAAACACAGCCATTTGAAGCTTGGAAAAGAAATGACATGTTTTATTTGAAACTTGTGACAGATATATTAACATATATTTTACCTTGCAGCAGTTTTACAGTTACTCAGTGAAGTGTTTGGCATGGAGCTGCTACTGTTTTCCATTTCTAACATCTGACTGAAACATCAGTCTGGCCACCACTTGCACTCACAGTTCTTGATGTATCTAGGACTTCCAGAAGGCCTAGAGTGAGTTTTTTCAAACAGAATTGGTCCCACTCATTGGAAATAAAAACATGATTGCCTCCTAATTTCTTGGTGGTTAATCTGACATAAGAGGCCTTCAGTTACGTTCCTAAAGTACTAACCAATGGAAGAGCTCACTTGGCTATATTTACCTAGATACCAATCCTGATTGGGTCATTTTCTGTTTTAAGAATTTAACCCTTTTGTTTCTAACTAAAACTAAATGAAGAAATAATGAAAAAAGAGTGTTAAAAATGAATTGTTTGAATACAGTAAGCACGATGATTATGTTAAAGAAAATTGAGCCAAAAATTATAGACATTTACTATTTACCATTGTGCAGCCTTATAAACTACCGCAATTAGTCAGGTGACTTAAAAATCACTATTATATCATAATTAAATCAGTTAAAATAGAAGAAATTATAGTTTTTCTTCTACACAAAGTCAGCTTAAGCCTTTCTACATGGGATTTTGAACAGCTGGTTTAGAAACCACTGGATTGTCTAGTTGACAGTTACTTTGTTTACTACGTATTAATGAACTATAATATAAGAATGCTATAATGATGTAATCTAAATGTAGATCATTTTAGCTCAGTGACTGCATGGCACCCACAGTACAGCACCTCTGTAGACTTTCTCCTGTTCTAACCCGCTGACTCAGCTTACAAAGGGCTTGATTATTAGCTACTGAATTGAATCAGGTGTGCAGGGATTTGCATGAATCAACTGATATGGAAAATTACAAACCGTGCCGGAGGTCAGGTTTAATCGCAGCTTTGCCACTTCATTTGATTCGTCTTTATACTCACAACAAGGTCTTCTTTCTGCTGAGTCTGTAACTGTTACAGTAAACCTCTTATGGCTATTATCAGAATTGCCATCATAGTCAAGTTCATTTTTATTAGCCATCAAACGATTTAGGGTCATAAACTCCAAGCTTCTGTTTCGGTGTAGAGAGAGAGAGAGAGAGAGAGATGCACATCTAAACATACTGGCACTCTGCCTATCATTGCATAAATACAGATATTTTCCAGCCTTAAAGCTAAGTTCACAGTTCCCCTCCACTCTATTGCAGCGTATCATTAATGAATAATAGTTTACCTTCACACGTACTGTTGCACGGGTCATGACCCATGTTACCCTCTAGGTTATTTCTGGGCAGCTGTGTGAATAAAACAGCACATTTCTGTTAGAAATGCTGCATCTACTCTACTCTTTTCATCACTGTAAGAAATACGAATATAGAAACACACAGTACACTTTAAAAGAAATAGTTTTTTCTTACTTTTTTCTTGAGAAAGGTCCTAAGGAAAAGTCTACATCAGATTCGTGACGTGTTCTTAAAGCACAGAACTGTTCACACCTTTGTGCTGTTGAGTGTGTAGATTCTGTTCTTACTTACAAACAAATCCCAAATAAGAAAACTTTGCTGAATGTCAGAATCGTCATGAAAACTGCGTAAGTGGATTTTAAGTTGAAACAGTTGAACAATGAGGCCCAGTGGTTCTGTATAGAACCATAAACACTCAAAAACCACTTGCATGCTTACAGGGTTCTTTGCATGGTGAAATGGTTCTTCAGATTGATAGACGGTGTGTTGTGTATGGTTTTATATAACACCAAAAAGCGTTCTTCTATTGTTACCATGTCAAGCTTGTAACAATACAAGAGCCATATGCATACATCAATCTGAAGAACCATTTCACCATGCAGAGGACTGTTTAGGCATGCAAATGTTTCTTTGAGTGTTCATGGTTCTAAATAGAACCATTGTCTTTACTAAAGAACTCATGATGAACCATCTTTTTTAAGAGAGTAGTTACTGTATACTATATTATAATAGTGACCGGTGCTGGAATGACTAGGAGCACTC